ACACACACACACACACACACACACACACACACACACACACACACACACACAGATGCTACCGCACGCTCCCAATGTGATTTATCTAGTCGTTTTCTGATTTCAGGCCAGAATGCTATCAGCTGCTGGGTTTTGTCATATACACAATGAAAGTGTGTCTGAGAAGCCCAGTCCTCTATTGCAGGGGCTAAATGGTGAACGATGGCGGTGCAGTAAAGAAAAAAAACCCCCATAATAACACACAGGAGGTATTCAAGTCTCTGTGTGTGCTCGGTCTGCTTCTGCAGGATGGCTACACCTTGTAGAACAAGTGCAGGAAGGAACAGAAAAGCTAAAAAATATAAAGCTTAAGAAACACATTTCTCTGAAAAAAAAAGGTGTCAGGTGTGCTCTGCAGTGGTGTTCTTGGAGAGATGGTTACTCCAAATCATGTGAGGAGAAAGAAGGAAATGTGTGGTGGGGGAAAAAAAGGCTTGGGAAGGATCTACAGAGGAAATACCCACAGAGATCCACAGTCAAGAGAACTCACTCTGTTCGTGTTACCTGTAACACGGAATAAACAATTTTTCTCTTCCTTATTTCTACAGCAGGACTGGTGTGTTCTGTCGTCATCTCCTCTCCTTGTGTCGTGTGGTTGTGTGCTGCCTGGTGTCTTAGTGCCTCCGGGGGTTTCACAGTGACAATGATGGGGGGGTATGCTGCCTTATTACCCTCCTCTGTCATGATTTGTGACAGATTATACGGACAACCAAGGTTGGTTACACAACCACACACTGGACTCTTGAGCATAATTTGATTGATTTCTATCTTGTATAATGCCTTGTTACCAACTGCCACTGTAAACGGGGAGGACAGTAACGCTCACTTAGCAGGGTCAGTCCGAGACAAGACAGAGAGCGAGCCCGTGTGCTGAGACAGGCTGGGTGGGACCTGGGAACTTTTTCAGGCCCCAGGCCATCATTTGAAATATCCACCTTAAGGAACAGTCAGCATCAGTAAGAAGAAAAACCTCGGGCTCTGTAGACAAGAGTCTAACTCTGTCGCCCATCCTCGGCTGAAGAAACCCACGGCCTCAGTTTAATCAAAAATGTAAATTAAAGTGAGCTTATGAAAGCAAGCCATTAAATACTGATGCTATGACGGTTTTCTAACAGTGATTGTGGGAGAAAAATCCGACAGGTGAAGGCCCTCCTTCACTTGTTTTGTATACTCTGTATAAATAATCAAGCAGAGTCTGATAGGACTTGCTTACAGCAATGTTACTGTAGATCCCAAGTCAAGTTATGATTAAAAAGAATCTGTTGTACAGGCAATGCAAACAGAACTCATACTTAACAACCAGTAAAATAACAAATTCAGTAAAAATGTAATCACATAAAACAGTAATAGACTGAATAAGACTGCTCGCATGATAAAAAGCCAGGATAACTTGCTGAGGTAGACCTGAAAGTCAGTGAGAAGAGTTGATTTTTAAGTGTTTTTAAATGACTGAGACTGGAAAGCTGTTATGTGAAAAGGCAGGTTGTCTCTGAAAAGGTTTCTTGTCTCTGTTTTTGAACGTCTCAGATGTCCAAGTGCCCTGGTAGCAGTGCACAACTGTAAAAGTTCCATTAACTAATTAAATTTTAGTCACTGAAACGGAACTTGTTGCTTAAAATTGCTGATTGATTCTAGTTTTCATGATAATCTACTTGGTCAGATCTAAGACCCAAAATTTTAATTGAAGCCAGAAATCACTTAGATACATTTTAACCTTTAAGATTTGGCGAAAATGGGCAGAATGGGGGGAAACTATAGTAATTATTAGATGGTCACTATCTAAACTATTAATCTGCTTTTCATCAGGTCAGATTCATAGAAATGTGCCAAGTATGAAATGTCAAATTCCAAATCTTATCTCCATGGTCGTGTCCCGCATCCATTGTACTCAGACGCTCGACATGACCTTTGTAGTAGCAGGAAATCTGTAATTCTTCTTCTTCTTTCACAATAAGCTGTTAGACAGTTTTTCGGTGTTTGAGGTGAAATAAATCTGCTATTAGTTGTAAAGTTTTGTTTCACTCAAGTCTGGGCTATATAGACCTTTTTTCTGATGTTTTTAATTCTTACATAATATTAAAGGTGAAATATTATAGTGTGAAGTGACCATAAAGTAAACTTACAATTTATGATTCAAACTCTTCAAATCAATGTACAATAGCAGCAAAATATAAAGAAATGAACCATCTTGGAAATGTTACTCAGCTATTTTAATTGTCACATCTGGATTTCAAAATCAAACAGAAATAGCACATATTATGTGATGAAGCTGAGGATGTCTGAAACATTGTTAACCAGTGTAATCAAACAGGGTCAAATGAGCAGATGTACTACAACACCTGATCAGTGCTCAGCTGACCTAGCTCATCCAAGGAGCAGCTAAGATACTGACGTATGATCACAGGTTTTCTAGCACAGCTCAACCATCTGTCTGTCAACGTCATCTCACCACTTAACCAAGCCTATTAAAACCACTGCGCTCTCTCCCCACCATGCTGCTCGCTTATCGCTCTGACAGAAGTGCAAAGTGCCACTTTGGCTCATTCAGTTATCTACATCATTGTTTAACTACATATTACCATGCAAACCATGTCTTATATAATAAACATGTCATACCAACGTAAAACTTACATTCAAGCATCTGAACATATTTTACATGTGATACATGTAATATGAGCTGTTGCACAGTTAATAATTCAAATAATTCAAAGCATTTAGACATGAGCAACCCCGACTTTACTAAATGCAATCAGGTTTGACAAAATCATACTTCTTTAACTTGTACTACTATGTAAGTTCTTTTTTGTTGTTTTTGCAAACACCTTGCTTAAACTATTAAAACTAGCACCACGGGCTTCTGAAACCTCCAAGTCAACACTGCGATTCATGCTTTCCTCCAAAAATCTGTTTTAAAAATTAAACACATCTCTTGCTCACTGCTGAATTACCTGTGCAGGAGGTGAAGAGCCTTGAATATCCATGTCCAAAAAAATAGCTGCTTTGGTAATTCTTCCCAGACAAATTTGTGTATTTAACACTATATTGTTACTTAGTATATAATTAGTATATTGAATCAACTTGAAATGACTTGGGTGTCAAATCTGATACCATGTTTTTCTAAAAGAACATCCTCCATTGTTTGCATTCATGACTTGATCTGGAATGATACCACATGAGAAATTCAATGTTTTGGTCATAGAACGGAACTAATTAACGAGTAAAACATGATCTAACTGTGTGCTTTTTTAATGGCTCACTTACACCAGACCTTTAAGAAAAACTAATTAGTGGTTGTATTCAATTTTCTTGTTGTCAGAAACTAATTGCAAGTAGTTGTGGTGACCAGTTGGTTATGCAACACTCTAAACCTCTGCTCTTTCACCTGGCTGTAGCTCAGGTGAAAGGCTGGTGGTTCGTGGTAAACATCCTCGGGCGTGATACTAACCCCAAGTTGCTCTCTGATGCATTCATCGGAGTGTGAACGTTAGATAGAAAGCACTTACATAGAAAGTGCTTGTGGCATGAAGCAAGGGCAATGACGCAGGTTGTGTAAAGCGCTTTCAGTGCTCTGACAGAGTAGAAAAGTGATTGATAAGAAAAAATATATTAACATTGCAAGGTGATTGGGGATAGACTGCACTCTCAGAGAGGTCTGCAAATAACTACTGTCTAATTTATAAATGCAGACAGATTGTTAAGCCGTCTGAGTTCGTCTGTGTCAATGAGTCAAACTACTCTGCGACATGTCTCTCTGAGTAGGAGACTCGAGTCAGCTGGTTGCCAACTGCTTGTATTCTGGTTTTCTTCCTCTATGAAAGCAAGGTTGCCAACCACCTACATCATTTTTTGATAAATCGCCACCAGCAGCAACTACGTCTTTATTTCTAAATGTCTATGAGTTTCTGGCTGGAATCTGAATATAAGTAGTTAATGTGAATTTCTGTGTATATAAAGGGCACAAGATTCACAACAGATGGTAATGATGAAAGAAACAGAGAAGAAAATATCAGATGCAATTTTGGAGTTGATTTGCAAAATAAAAACACCAACAGCAATCAGCATGGCATTCTATTCTAAGGCAAAGCAGCTGAAGGAAGCCTAGGATGCACAGACAGCTAATGAAGCCAAACAAATGATATACAGACCACCGGCACACAGTGGGAACACTCAGAGAATCTGTATAACAATAAC